TGCAGAAAAGGCTAACATTGTTATCTTTTTACAAAAAACAGCTGAACATGAGAGGTTTTTGGACCAATTTTGTGTTCTCCATTCTTTAAGCACCGGCACAGTTTCAAAAGTACCGATTTGGCACCGGTATCGGATAAAACCTAAACGATACCCATCCCTATTCGTTTAACTCAGTGATTCCCAAAGTGTGGGTCGGGGCCCCCTGTTGGGTTGCAAATGTGCTGCAGGTGGGCCATCGTAATAAAATGCAGTTTGAAATCACTCAAGTATGTACAGTTATGTATTTACATAAATACATTTAAATAAAACTGAATAAAATCTGGTAATATAAGCTGTTAGTTTGTGACAGTCTGACCTAAACTTACTGCACTTATACTGAAGTTTGTGTCACAGTGGCAGGTGAGTCACACATCAGCCTTAATCTTACATATGGTTGATTAGCAATTTATAGGCGACAGCACATTTAATTGGTTTAATAACACTTTCTCCTGTACATTGATTTGAGAGGATTTAAGTTGAGGTGGGCTCCATGTGATTTAATGGCTTTTAAGTGGGCTGCATCACTCTTGACTTGCTGCTTCGACTTATTTACCCTCTTAATGCCCTGTTGGGACACCAGTGCATGTCATTCCCCTCGGTCACATATGTGACTGCTGCCTGCCAATGAGCGCAGTCTTTGCCAGTATTGGTCAATCAGGCCAGCCTCCCATGTCATTTGTGTAAGAAGTTTTTGCTGCACATTTTGCTACTTTTACATTTTTAGCTCATTAACACATTTCTGTTATTTCTATACATAAAAAAGTTGCAGGTTGCAGAAAGACTGAGCTGGGTTATTAATACTAAGGTAAGACCATTGAATCCCCAAGGAACAAGTGGTTTTATGTTTGAAAACTATGAAAACAGCCATTCCCATAACACACGCCAGAAGGAATAAGCTTCAGCAGTGGGACAGAACCACTGGGAAATGTCCCAGTGAAAGATTCTGTTTATCAGTGTTTCATAAGGCTTCTGCTTGACAGCTGAGGAAAGGAGAATATAACTGCTCTAAATGCATTTCATTTCTTGCCATAAAACAGGTATCGCATGTACACCTTGGGGATGGAAAGAGAAAAGGGAGTAAGTGCAGGCAGGAGGGAGAAATTATGACGCATCGAGTCCTGCTACTTTATACTCAATTTTATATTCCATCTATGCATATTTATGAGCACGTCTTGTGGAAAATTGCGTTTTTGGGAACCTCGTAGCAACACCTCTGATGCATTTCTCAGTCCTGGTTGTGTCATTTTGCTGGCAGTCAGGAGGGAAATGGGAGGATGGGCGTGACAGAGTGAAGATGGAACAAAGACGAGGGGAAGCTGTCGTGCTGTACTCACCAGTCACCTGGTCCACCAGAATGCGTGAGGTAATAATGCGTCCGTACTGAGAGAAGAGCTGCTCCAGTTCCTTCTGAGTCATAGTTTTTGGCAGGCCACTGACGTATAAATTTGCATCTCTGATGGAGGCGGAGCTTGGACGCGCATAGGAAACCTACAAGTGGAAACAGTTGTCGACCTCAGTATATTACAGCCAGTTTACGCACAAGCAGGTTAGACCATCCATCACCTTTGATTCTTATCTCCGAACAGAGGCTGTAACCGAGTCATAGCGGAGAGAATATAAACTAACTCACGTTTGAGTGAACTTGCAGGCCACACACAGAACTGCATCACATGATAAACTAAATACACCGTCTTCTGTAGACTACATTACTGTGTAGGGCATCTCCTAACATCATAGCCAGCAGACATCAAGCCCGCCAGTGTTTGTAAAACCATCTGTATTCCAACTTTAACCATCACGTGATAACACAGTGAGACCACAAACCAGACATTCAATACAGACCGTCGGCTACGTTTGAAAATGTCCCAAAATGAGCTCAACTTTTCCCATCCTTAACCCGAGGGACCCCATTAATGCAGGTGAAAGGAAATCAGGGCTTTGCAAAAAAAAAGAAAAAGGAAAAAAAAGAAGTGTTGTACACAAACTGCAGTGACTCGATGTGTTTGTAACATTAGTTAATATAAAGGATGTAAGTGTTAGCAGCTGGGTTTTAGCAACATTAGGGTGGTGCATTGCCGGTTTCTGCTGCTGTCTTCCTCAGTGCAAACCTAAACACTAAAACATTTTATTATTATTAATTGGACACTGACAAACCAGCCTGTCCACAAAGAGTTTAACCTGTCACATTTTGTCCCTCAACTCAAAATCCTGACAATTTAAACGTCAGGCCCATCAAGAAAGCTCATCTTTCAAAATAAAACAAAATTTAAAAAAACCCCAAAGTGTTAAAAATCGCTCTACACAGCAACGTGGCTGCCTCTTTACCTTCATCTGAACTACTCTAGAGGTTTTGTTGCCTCTGAATTCAGATTACATCAGAAAAATCTCCAGCAACAGGCTAGAATAAATATGGGGCACAAACAAACATCCATCCAGAAACCCAGACAAGTAATAGCAAAGAGAGGTAGACTCAATCCTCTACCAGGTCATGTGGATCAATACATCATTACACCCCTCAGCAGTCAAATTCATTTTTCTCCATGCACCATCTCATTTTCGGTTATGTCGAGATTTGTCTGATAATCTGCAGGAACCAAAGCAGCCGAAATTTTCAGAGCTGATGTGATAAGAAGTGTTGGAGGATGGTTTTGTGGAAGAGAATTGAGAGAATCAGACAAAGAAAGAACAGAGTGTGTGAGTGTGTTCCCCCTAGCGTCACACTCATCTTTATTCCTCTGCCATCATTTTATGGGAATAAATAAAGGTCAAGTGACCACACCTCAAAATCTGCCGTGTACCACCGGTGAAGAGTAGAGTGATAACAGTAAAAGCTAAAGCCCCCTGCCCAGCCTCCTCCATAGTCTAACCTTCACACTTTATTTAATGCTAATATTTGCAAAGTATATTCCCCCACTTCACTGGGTTTATTTGCACTTCTGACAGGGCAGCTGGAGAGTTTCGGATGTGTGATGCATAAGGCAATGTTACCATGTTCTACTTTCAGGGGTATGAACCGAGACAGGCAGCGACATGAGAAAGATGGGCTCCGATTTGTGGAATTGAAGCGGTATGGCTCACAACACTACATCTTCCGCTGTCATGACATGCCACATCTGCACAATATTGAAGTGTTAAAAACAGAAATAATCAAGCGTACAGCTTACAAATTTGGTGCTATTCAAACATCAATTTTCTATTACAAAATATGTTTTTGCCCACAGAAATTCTCTAATAGCTTTCTGCCTGATATGAGAAGGCTAGCTCCTCGTAAGGCCAGCACAAAAAATGAAAAAAAAGTATCACATCTAATAATCTGACTCCACCATCCACAAATCCTGCAGCACTATATGAAGCAAATGAGTTTCTCCACCAGCACATTGAGTGCTACATTGCCTGATGAATGCTAATGGCAGCCACCTCCCTGTAAAGGCATACAGCAGTGCTACAGCACATGCAACCATAGAAACAGTTCTGCTCTACTAGAGGCCCAAGCAAAGCCGCCTGTGCCCAGATTAACAATAGGCTCCCTTTACACCCCACACTGCTCCAGCCTCATTATGTCTCGACTCCAACCTACAGAGCCAGACATAACCGGTAAGACATTTTTATTTATTTTTTCAAACCTGTCAAAAAGGACAACATATGATGTCTTACCTTGATGGTTTTGGTCTGAAGTCTCAAGCCATTTAAGGTATTGATGGCCTTTTCTGCATCCTTTGGGTCCACATAATTCACAAATCCATAGCCTAGGCTCTGCCCTGCAATCACAATATAAATAAAATTAATGTGACATGAAATTTAAGACAAATGTGTGCAAAAACAGGTCTTTTTAGAATCAGCAGAATTAGCATAAATGTGGTTTTACCCCCTCCCCAAACAATCTCATATCTGGCACAGCACAGAGGTCAAACCATTTCCTACAAATCTCAGGAAATTTACCACAGGTTGTAAACAAACTAAACACGCTCTTTGACAAACAGGTTTTAAATTAAAAATGACAAGCAATTGCTCTGCTTTCACACCAACTCATCGACGACAGAGCGAAGTAGCCGAGGCTCAATGTCTTCCCCTCCCGCTGCAGTTTATCTCTAAAATGTACAATAGATTGACACCCACTCACTATGTGCACAGAGGCAATTCAATTTCCTCCACCCACATCCTGGGTTTCTCTGCAATTTCACTGCCGGTCAAGTTCACCATCTCGAGCAGTTTCACCATATTAATGCAGCACATATATAAACAAGCTGAATGGCATCGGAAAGTTTTGGGAAATTAAAAATAATTTAAATCTCTGACACTGAGGCTCACGACACCATTAACCTGCACTTTGATTAGTTATATTAAAGCAATGATTGCGGCAGAAGTTCTTCCTGCAGTAGCAGATTTTTTCTCTTCAATATAGACTTTTCTCCATCTCTCGGGTGCCCCTAATTAAATGCACGTAAAACTAGACTTTCTATTCTTTCAGTGATATATTAACTCACTCCATGCTTCAAACTGCCAAAAATATATACATTTTTTCCTACCGCCCAAAAAAGCTCTCATTGAGACATTCATGTCTACTACACAATACTGTAACAGACACCGTCACATCTGTGCACCACTGCACAGGTGATACGCTGAATTTAAAGTAATCTGTCAATTTAAATTTTAGATATTAAATGACTGTCCCCATTCATGCAAGTATTTTGTAATGAGAATGGACACATTTAGCTTAGCATTTATCTGGTGATGCTTTCTTGCACCAGTAAGTTGTCCTTGTTGATGCATCGCTACAGTGAATAGCTGAGAAAAGGCCATTCATATGAACCCATTCCTTACTACTCTGCACGGTTCAAAGACTGAAATCCCACTGCTGGTTAGTTATAGGATTATTACTGTTATGATATTAAGATATTTATTCATATAATCAAGCATAACGATTTAATAATAAATGCATTTTCAACTGATAAATGTCCCTGATCTTTGGGTTTCTGTGTTGCACCTAAACAGGCTGAACTGTAACTCAGAGCACACTAAATTTTGTTTACAATAATTAAACATCCAACTATGAAATATCTCGAGACTGCTTTGCTACGCAGCTGAACTCCCTATATACTCCCATACCGCGTTTAATCCATCTCACTGCTTGATCACAGCAGATCAAGCAGTGACTCACCAAGTTCATAAACTTAATTTCACCTCCAGGTCAGGGAACATTATCGCCAGGAGAAATATGCCAAGTCTTTGAAATGAGCTGGTGAAATGAAACATCTACTTGAGCCCTGAGGGCAAAATGCTTGCTGTACAATGTTCCCCTACAGACGCTCTATACGAGCATGCAAAGCTTTTGTGACACCTTCCTATGGAGTGTCTAACATCCATCGCATCCACTGTAAAGACAAGAGGCCCTTTAACAAACAACTTGTTGGCTTTCAGCTGTCATTAAAGGAGCAGCAGAGACATGCTGAGAAGCACTTTCAGAGAGCTGCACCCAGCTTCCAGTACAGACCTACTGCTATCCATAGTGGGAGGAAAATGACACAGACTAAGCTGCTTTCTGCAGCAGCAGCCAAAGCGTGAACATTTAAAGCAAAGAGGAAGCATGCATCTCTCTCTGGTGATTACTCAACATCTGATGTAGCAGCAGCGCACAGATGTAGGCTGGCTTAAATCCATTGCCAAAGGGCCAAGGGAGAGACAAAAGCAACAGAGTCTGGAGGGGATACGGTTTTATGCAGAGCTGAAAACGAGAATCATTCCTGAGAAACAACCGAGGTTCTGAATAACATTAAGGGTATTTTATTAAGCACCAATTCAAGCTCCCTTAAAGGGGTAAAAAGCACTACTTCAAAAGCTTATTTTCAAATCAAAAGTGCAGCTTCTATATTAAATTTAACTTGTACATTGATAGAAACTAGAGCTCAACAGTGGGGATTAATGCCCTTTTCAGAGCTTTAATTTGCTTAAGGCAGGGCTGTTTATGCAAATGCACACAGTTACCTATAATTTACCTTCCTTAAGCATGCTCTTTGACATGCATCTTCTGCCAGCTGGAGAGCCAAGAATTCACCGTCTCCAGCTGGCTGCATTTCTACTTCAACAAAAATAAATATAATTACAAAATAGCCACACTGATCTTTTAGAGTTTGCAGCAACAGACTTCATCTAAGCACTGATTCACTAAAGAGCCTGCTGCAACTGTCACTCAGTTTTATTCATAGTGACAATCACAACGGTCGCCTCAAAACACTTTGTGTTTCAAGGTAAAAACCCTGCAATGTTAAAGAGTGAGAATCCTAACAAGTTCCCCATGAGCCAAAACCTGATGATGGTAGGGTGAAAAAGCTGGAGAAACCAGTTTAAGGGAGATTGGAAAGGAGAGGAGAGGAGAGAACCACACAGCACAGAGAGACGAGCACAACAAGCACTGGAGAAGGAAGACAAAGTAGTGTCATGTAAACGCAGAGGGAGTGAAGAGAGGCGGGTGAAGGAGAAACACTGAGTGCATCGTGAGAAATCCCCCAGCAGCCTGAACCTATAGCAGCTTAACTATGGATGCAATGGTTCAGGGTCAAATGAAACATCCTTAACTGAAAGTTTTATGAAAAAGGAAAGTTTGAAGCCCAATCTTAAAAGCAGAGAGAGGGAGCGTGTCTCCTGAATCCAAATGGGAGCTGGTTCCATATACAGGCTCTGCCTCCCATTGTACTTGAGGAAAACTGAGAACCACAAGTGAGTCACCGTGCTTCCATCTCAGTCGAGTCCCACCATAGAAGAAGAAAAATAAATCTCTCCAAGATACACCTGTACATGCTATGGTTAAATGCATGTAGTGTTTACTTCAGGTTATATTGGTAAACATGTAAAAAAGTCCTGTCCCGGCACAGTACCATGTTGAACTCCCTCAGCAACCTAAATCCATAAATACAACTCAAGCCGGTGCAACACATTTCCTTTAATAACATGTTTTTAAATCTCTGTAGTAAATGTTGTGAACTGTACTGAATATTACACTGAGGTCGAAGGAGGACAAAGACTAGAACACCATCAGACAATCATCCATCTGTGCTGCTTTGCACTCTGACTCGAAATCATTGGAAATCATTGCTCTGCAGATGATCACTCAGCTGTTTTACGTGTTTAAAAATGAAGCAAGGCTGGAGATCAGTCTATAGTTAGCTGGATCAAGCAAGGGTTTTAATTGTTTAATTACAGCTACCTGAAAAGGCTGTGCTAATTAGTGTTTTAAAGGTAAACTGACCATATTTAAAAACCACAGCATTAACTAATGGCATGACTTCTTTGAACAGAGTCTAATAAGCATGTCAAAAGTTTGGAAGAGGCACTTTAGTCTGTTCAGAGAAATCAAGTTCTGTTATCTTTTAACGTCAAAAATCAAACTATATGCAAGGATTCAGTGTACTTAATGGACACAGAACGTCTATTTGTACAAAATATTTCTCTCACACACACACACACACACACAAAACAATCTAGTGGAAAAGATATAAAACCAACATTTAAGAGCGCAAATCATCAAGCTCAAAGCACCTGGATCAAGACTAACGTCTATTTACGTCTTGTTTGAAGTGAAAATTACCCATACTAAGAGAAAAGACGAGGCAACATACAGGTTCATGTCTTGTCACCCAAAACAAAACTCGTCCACGGAGCGCTTCTATCGTTTCCTGAATCAAAGCCTACATTTCAGCTGCGGCATGCATGAATCAGGACCTCGTAGTACTTAAATCGTTTTCACACAGGGGCAGGCTGATTTCAAACAACACGTTTCATTTAGTGCCTCGCTCGGAAAATTAGTTTGAGTGTTGCGTTCACACTAGCTCGCCTAAATATGCAACCTATCAAACGTTGTTTATGTTCAATCACCCAAGTAGGCTGTGCTGTACACTGATTTTAAACAGGGATCACTTGTCAAGTCAACGCAACCCATTTCACACATTATTAAATACATTTATTTTATGCATGGCTACACGAGGGCATTTATCCCAGGCAAGACTAATAATTTTTCATCATCACTGCATGTAAATAGTTTAAATTCAATAAATAAATAATAAGACCCCCCCCCCTCCGTCTTCTATGCCCACAAGTACCATCCTGGGTTTGTGGTCTACTCTTTGCTATCATTTGTTTACACCAATGAAATATAACCTCTCTGATTAAAACATCTGTTGTGGCAGTCCAAAGAATCGGCTCTACAAATACAGCTATAACAGAAATGCTTTTTAGAGAAAGCATAAGAGAATGCAGCTGGTGTAGTTGGAGGCAGCGAGAGACAATTTAGCTCGACATAGTCTGAGGATTTGACAGCATTTTTAAAAATGAAGCAGTAACTTTTGGGAATAGTAGCAACCCTGCAAAGACAGACCTGTGAATAATGATCAGGTATACACAGGAACTGAAATATTAACATGAATATTTCAAAGTGGGTGGGTGTACAGTTGACATGTTAATTTAATGTAGGTCAGAGTCACAGGATCTAAAGTCACTGCATCCCTCAGCCACCCCTCTCTCAGCCTCAAGCATCATTTCAAGGAAAAGCTCTGCTCGCTCTCTCCACTGACTGTTGATTCAGAAGAAAATGCAAACAAAACAAATGGATTTTCATCTCAGGCAGAGAGACAGGCTGAAAGGTCTCCATAACCTTAACCACAAACAGCTAGTAGTGAGAATCCTGCAGCCTCGACCATTATCTAGCTGCTCATGTCACATAGACCGTGTCACTGTGTCTCTGCCAGCTGCATTCCTCCCATTAAAAACCTGAAATCATTTGCAAATTGTCCACCTACCCAAATACTGTACACTGAACAGGATGTTCCCACAGGGAGTTTTCTGAAAATGCCATTTCCCTACTGGCTCTAGTAGAAACCAACACATCAAAGCAGTTACAGGAACACTTTAACTGTACTTCAGGCCTCGATGAATGACAGCGAGGTTGAAAATCTTTAATGACACTGTGCAATTTTTTTAAATGACACAACTGTCAGTGGAGCGCAAAAAAAACAACCCTTTGAGCACCGGATTCAAAAATGAATGTTAATATTGCTCAAATGTTCCCTTTTTGCCGACTGTTTAATCAAACAGTATGTATGCTCAATGATTTTCAGAATTAAGGTCTTTCTTTGTTGGTGTCTATTTTAAAAAGAAGGGGAAAAACTCACTGTACATGCAACACAAAAGCCTACGGCACAAACAGGCCGACCATTTGTTCAAAATCTATATTAACCTGAAAAGAAAATCTAATAATCTAAATAAAAAAAATGCACCAATGCAAAAAAAACAACATAATAATAATGCACACATAGGTGGTTCTGCAATCATTAACCAGCGTAAGCAATGCAAACAGTTGTTACCTGTGATTTTGTCTCGAACTAGTTTACAGGACTCAATTTCTCCGATGCTCCCAAACAAACTCTTCAGTTCCTCCTGGGTCATGTTCTGAGGCAGATAGTTGACTATCAAGTTAGTTTTACTGTCCTCTACGCTCCCTGACTCTACAGGTGAAGAGCAGTTGTTTGTGATAGTTGAAGGACCGTTGCTTGTGTTGTTGCAAGTGGGCCCATTGGATAGCTGTGTTTCCATGGCAGCAATTACCTGCTAAAGAGACAGAAAGAAAAAAAAATCAAAACTAAATGCAAATGAAACAAAAAGCATCATAAAACCAGCAGTTAAAAAAGGACGCTCTTCACACAGTAAACACTGTTTCAGTGGAATAACAACCACTGGTGAAATTTAAAGATTAAAGAAAAAAAACAGTGGTAATCATTTAATGCAGCACAGCATTACAGGTAATTAACCCAACAAAAATAAAATAAAGAAACCCCACACTGCAAGCTGTCAATGTCAAGAGTTTGCCACCACAGAAGAAACTGAGTACAGGTTTTAATCATGTCAATTTAACTTTAGCTCAGGTATGAGGACAAATGTTAGATTTTAGCAATATAACCAACAAAAATACTGGAAGTTGAGATTGGACCCCTCCATATTTGTTTAATTACTCTGATATTTGTTATTGTTGCTTTTATGAGAAAACAGGAGACGCCCTGTGCAATAAGGCAATCTATTAATCTGCCATATGCACAACAACTGAGGTGAGAATATTAAAAATTATCTTTCCAGGATTTTAAACTTCCTACTGCAGTAGTAACATTTCATTCACCAAAATTAGAAAATGCCAAGCCTACAGAAGCCCAAAACCTGCAGCCATCAGTACGCTAGCATCGGGGAACAGGCCGAAACGATGCGTAATCAGTTAAGGCAACCAGCAGCACGTTAATGTATGAAGAGTCATCCTTAATTAACAGATTCACCAGAAAGCAGAGCGATGTAGTCACACTACTATTATTCTCACTTTAAATTATCGTCACACAGAGTACAAGGCTATAATTTTAAAAGCAGTGATGCTATAAGTTAAATACAGAGTAGACAGGGGCAGTAGAGAGTTTTTAGACCATACCAATACAGTGAGACATTAAACATGGGAGCTTTTCATACAAACTGCAAAAAGGTGCCTACATTTAATACGTAAATTGATTTAGATTCAATGTTATAATACAAGAACTATCATTGGTATGGCCTGAGCACTGAGACAAAGAGCCCTTCTGGACAAATAATTTCCAAAAATAAAAATAAAAGTGCCACAGACCCCAGTCCAAGGCTCAGGCGCCCACGAACCACTTCTAAGCAGAGAAGCCACATCGCACAGTCTGACTGCCATGTTAGTTTGGAGTTGCCGTCTGAAAATGTGGACACAAAAAGTACTTCATGTTAGATCAACAACAACAAAAGCAACAGTCAGAGATGATCACATGTCAGCGTTTGGGGGGGTAAAAAGGAGGCCATTTTTCTCCCTCCCCTTTTTTCGAACTGGCTGTCCATGCAGATTGGTGAAAACCAAGAAGAAGCAAAAGGCAACGTTTCACTTGGTCACAATTCATCTACAGTAAGGAGAGAAAAGCAAAACCGAGAAGTGTAGAGTGTTCAGTCTACAGAGCAACCTGGCCACAACGGGGACAATAAGCATGAGGAATGGGAATTTGTATAATGGATGAGTGCGCTATACAAAGATGCTCACCAAGACCGCAAAGCACAAGTTAATTTGTCTAAGACTGCTAAGCCAACACATTCCTGCATTTTTTTTTTTTAAAACTCCAGGCGCACATAAGTAATAAAAGTGGAAACATCCAGGGTGAAATAATCTACATGTTTACTTTGTCTTAACATACCTGTTCTTAAAAAGTAGTTCATCAAGGTGACATGCAGAGCCCAAATGCATAGTAGCGCATTCAAAAGACTGACTAACAGTGCGGCAAAGACACTTACAACTAAAAATTAAAGACAAATGAGGCAAAAACAATCCAAGCCACAGAAGTTACATTTTAAAGTCCATCAAGACGCAGTATGCCAAATATCAGCAACACATGTGGCCATGTGACCCATGTCTACATTCCTATATACACACACACACACACAATATTTAGACACAAACAAAAGCTCCAATAATAATGTGCATAATACAACAATCCAACAAGACATTTATAGCAGTGTAAACTGACTTTAGTTTAATTCACACCATTAAAAATACCTCTGTTAGCATCAAAGATCACACATTTACAGCGGGGCCACCTCTGATAACTTTACAGGCCACAAAGCTGCATAAGGACATTTTTCCATGTTGTGTATAATATGGTAAAATATTGTGAAATTAAAGTTGGAGACAACAGATTCTTTTGGCTAATTTTGAAAAACATTAAGTAAACGTAACAGATGACAGCTCCTCATTCGTGAATTTGTTTGTTGCATCAAATGAAAATTGGCCTGCGAGCATTCTCATGCCAATTGATTTTCTCCACTCATGCAATGAAAATAGTGCTGCGATTGTCACATGGACAGGTACAAACTAATCCAATTTCTTAGTGGCGAGCTTGTGAAGCCACACGTCAATATGCCATTAGTGTTTCACCATACTTCTAAGCATGAACTCAGTCTACAATTTAATGTCCAAATTTTGTAGTAAAGTTAATATATTAAATCTTACTTTTTCATGTGTCATTTTATAATAAAATGCATATTATTCATGTAAACAGCTGCTTTTAAGAACTATTGGCATCTTTAATGTTTCTTTTTGCCTCAACACTGCCACGACACTGAGCTGAAGGGAATAGCTGTGTCACATGATCAGTGTTGAAGTAGAATAAGGTGATGATTCACCCTATAAAACTGCTTATGGCTTATAATTACAGCACCTTTAGTCCTTTCTGCTCTGGTTTTCTGATATGTAGATAGCCATCCATCAGTGTCACAAGAGTTTGGTATATGCACAGGGTGCCGAGATGATGGAGGAGGAAATTAAATATTAGTTTAAGAGTAGTTAGGAAGGGTTTATATCATCCACAATGTACTTTTATTTGCACAAGAGACAGAATACCCATGCAACAATGCAACACCTGTCCAAATGATGTGTATTATTGTTCACTGCCCTAAATGACTTTGAAGGTCTGGTTATTACAGCATCTTCTGATGTAGAAATGGTCTGAATATTATTAATTATCCTACCAGCTAATGAGCTAGATTATAGTAAACAAACTTTTTATTTTTTTAAACCGGTGTAAGCATGAACTAGTGCACCATTCAGCAACAAACATGGAATAAACTACATGAAACTTAAGTGGTGGACAGATCAGTATTTTCCTACATTCAATTTGATTTTTTTCTAAATTGAAAGACTATTCAGTCCATCGTCTGAATCCAACTCAAACAGTGGTTCTGATTTGAGGGGACCCTAAAAGCAGTCTCAGGTATTAGATGTTCAGCATTTACAGCTTGTACATGAAGCCTCCTGGCAGTAACTTTACACTGAGATCTTTGAGAATTAGATTCTTTAAAGGAGGTTAGTGTGTCCATCAAGTCTCTAGATTTATTACCGGAGGAAGGTCTTACATGGGTCTAAAGAGGCAAAACAAAGGAAGAACAAAAAAAATACATACACAACACTGATTATGTACACAAATACACATGGACAAATTGCAGCAACAGCCCAATGTCAGTCACATCAAACAGCTGTAGAACTGCTGTGGACTCTCAATTAGAAAATAATTATGACCTCAGTCTATCCAAGTGTGAAAACCTGGAGGTGTACTGTGAATGTGTTATTAGTGCGACTGCTTGACTAAAAATGACAATGTTCATGGACAGTGTTATTTATGAGGGTTTTAAGTATATCGCTGTGTCTCTTCGTGTACAGAGCAGAGATCTTCTATAGTGACAATATTCAGGATACGAATCAACCTGACCTTTGAATATGTCGGCTACATGTTAATTTGACTTTCAGGCAGTTGCTTTCCCTCAGTTGTTGGGCAATTACTTTGCTACCAGCTAACTAAAGTCAGAATGACAAAACAGTAAAATCTAGACAACAGTCAGCTGTGCTCGAGCAGTGAAGTCTGTGAGCACCTCCTCAGAACGGGGCATTATCAGCTGAATTTAAAATTATCCTGTGTCACGCACAATATGCTCATCCCATTGTTTCCAGATATTTGGCAGATCATAATCCATGTGTAAAATGGTGTGATGCACAGTTTACTCAGAGCAAATGAATACAATGCAGTCGCAGCCTCACTTGCAGTTTCATAACCACGCACAGTGACTGGCTTTTCCTGTCTTCAGGCCAGTGATAACTCTGTCATTAGATGTTGTCATTTCTGCGTCAAATGTTTATATTTCAATTTTATGCCACAGGCTGGACAAAAGAAAAAAAAACAGTCTAACATTTTGGGTGATTAACTTAACGGGTATCAATTTTTATTATCAAAAATAATATTATCAATTATACTCCACTAAACAAACGCAAAATCTCTTTTAGAGAGACTTGTGAGGATGATGATAAAGGTTTAAGATCTTAAACTGAAAGTTACACACTCAGTTCAGCACTGCTTTTAGCTTGGCCAAGACATTTGTGCATTCATGTTGATTTTAACGTCGCATTGCACAAGTGCAAATAAATGAGTCATTTGATTTGCTGGCATGTCCCAAAACCAAGGTCGAAACCACTCGCTGCGTAACCCAAGCAAAAATAGAAAACACAGCAAATTGCTTTTACCAACATGACCCATTACCACAGATGCATTTCACTTAGGAGAAAAACCTCAGCAGACCGTGACAGAAGATGAACCGAAGGCCGAGGAGACTCATTTATACAGTGTGATTTTGAAGTGCACAATAGGCCATATGGTTTCCAACAAAGATGCACCCCAATGCAAATCTCTTTGCAGATTTGTGTTTTAGAGTTTGATAATTAAAGGGACCGGTTAATGATTTATTTTTATTTATTTTATCGCTACATATAAGGTGTTTTTATAAGTTAAAAAACAGTCAAGGTGACAATAAGCCCAACATCATTAGCTTACTGGAGTGCAGTAAGTCTAAAACGAAATTATTCCCCAATGCTTAAGGTTACTCAGGCAAGCTTACAATACACTGGAGGAAACCCCAAACCATGACTATAGGCATCAGCCTTCACTTTATTTCATGAATAATAACTACTGCCGGAGACGTCACAGGTTAACTTCGCTTGCTCTTGTGGACACTGCATATTTCAGGCACAGCATGTGAAAAACCAAGTTAGAGTCCATGATGATTTTTTTTTTAATCTCCACAAAGTTTCAAAACTAAGACTGACATGCAAAAAGCACATTCCAGTTATCCATCTCAGAATATTTCCCATTAATTTTTTACCTTGAATGTTTTAATTATTGCGCTTCAGCAATGATGCAAATGTATAAACTCACTTCCAGCACATTCGTAAATGATTAAACTTCTGAGGTTCACAAACTGTTAATTGATCACAGAGCACACAGGGTTAAATATAGAAGTCACCAGGATGACTAAGGTGGCGAATTTCACTGGCTGACTGTGCAGATCCAACCTCTCCCAGAGGGTGAGACTGCACTGAACAGAGGCACCGCCCCTCACAGAAGGGAGAGGGGTTTGCTGGATGAGTGTACAGTTTATTTACAGTTTAATCATCAAATATTGATCAATAAATTATTTTTTTAAAGCTTTGAGATATACATTTGCAGTCAAAGTTTAAATTCAGTTTAAACAACAGTTCTAAGGACCCTAAATAATACAGAGAAACACTGAAGATTTTGTTAAAGACGACCAGTAATCGACTGCGTCATTGCTTAGCTGTTTTTCAGCCAGGATTCTCAGCCTGTGTCGTTTGCTGTGCCGACTTTCCTGATGAGCTCTACTAGTTTTGTTCTAATAAACTCTTAATCATAAATGGAATTCAGCATGTCCTATTTTAACACTTTGCGCATCACTCTGTAATTATACCTCCAAAATGCTAGTTGGCAGAGTTACTGAAACTACTATTGTGACTGAAACAGAGGGGATGATGTGGGAGGTAAATTTAATGAAAGCTGTACAACAGTTATTTTACTAAAAGAGAAGCTGCTGAACCAAATGAGCCCAAAAATGGTGGCAGAGATGCAAAACCCAGGAACCTGCAGATGGTTACAGTGGCCTATTAGTGGTTTTTGCATTAGCGTTATGAAGGAGCCCACAATAACAATAATAACAACAGCTTACTACAAATTATATTTTGTTCTGTTGCACAAAATCAGCTGCTACTTGTTAACATCAAGGTGTGCACGTTATTCTGCAGCATGAGCTGATATGACATAATGCACTCCGATGGAGTTAGGAGCATCACAACATCAACTTAAACTGAGAT